TTGGGGAAGACATTTGAAGACCATCTGAAGAATTTAGAAAACGTTTTTAATCGACTTAAAGCTGCCCAATTGATGTTAAACCCCAAGAAGTGCCAGCTATTTCAAGGTAAAGTCAATTATCTGGGTCATATAGTCAGTAAAGAAGGAGTGGCCGTGGATAAAGGAAAAATCGATTCTATTAAGGAATGGCCAAAACCAACTGACAAACATCAAGTGAGAAGTTTTCTGGGACTGTGTACTTACTACCGGAGGTTTATTAAGAAGTTTGCAGATATCGCTAAACCATTAACGCGACTTACAGAGGAAGCAAGAGAATACCGCTGGGATGTAGACTGCCAGAATGCCTTTGAAACCTTAAAAAAGCATTTAATCACAGCACCAATTTTAGGGTATCCACTGCCAGAAGGAGAGTTCATCTTAGATACAGATGCAAGTAATGTGGGAATTGGAGGAGTGCTGTCTCAGATTCAAGGAGGACAGGAAAGAGTCCTTGGATATTTTAGTAAAGTCCTCTCAAAACCTGAGCGAAATTATTGCGTCACGAGAAGAGAACTTCTGGCAGTAGTGAAATCAGTAGAGCACTTCTATCAATACCTCTATGGAAGGAAGTTTTTAATCCGAACCGACCATGCCGCCCTTAAGTGGTTGATGCAGTTTAAGAATCCAGAGGGTCAGATAGCCAGGTGGATCGAACGACTCCAAGAATATGATTTAAGATTAAGCACCGGGCCGGAGTTAGCCACCGAAACGCCGATTCTCTTTCCAGAAGGCCATGCCCAGCAGAGTGTTCTCACTGCAAACAAAACGGAATCCAAGGAAGCAGCAGTGCTAAGAACGACGGTGGTCCACGACGACTGGACGCCTACCAAGATCAGGGAAGAACAAGAGAGAGATCCAGTTATACAGAAAATCCGAAAATGGAAAGAGGAAAACCGTCGACCACCTTGGCAAGAAATATCGAACCTAGGCTCAATAGTTAAGACGTATTGGGCCCAGTGGGACTCATTTATCATGGAAGATGGCTTGCTCAAACGAGTCCTGGAAAATGATGACGGTTCAGAGAAGAGAAGACAGTTGGTGATTCCAAAGAGCAGAATAGCCGAAGTACTTCGTCAGTTACACGACAGTCCATCAGGAGGGCATTTTGGTGTGAAAAAGACCCTTCAGCGAATTCGGGAACGGTTTTATTGGATGAACAGTTCCGACGATGTAAAAGACTGGTGTAAGAAATGTACTATTTGTGCTACGAGTAACGGGCCTTATCGAAAAAGGAGAGCTCCTATGAGACAATATAATGTTGGAAGCCCGTTTGAAAGAATAGCTTTGGACATTGCTGGGCCGTTTCCAGAAAGTGATAATGGAGGCAAGTACATGTTGGTAGTAATGGATTACTTCACTAAGTGGGTCGAGATTTACGCACTTCCAGACCAGAAGGCGGCCACCGTTGCAGATAAGTTGATCCAAGAATATATCAGCCGATTTGGAGTGCCTTTGGAGATCCATAGTGACCAAGGCAGGAACTTCGAAAGCGATTTATTCCAAGGAATATGTGATAGACTAGGTATGAAGAAAACAAGGACTACGGCTTATCATCCGCAATCGGATGGTATGGTAGAACGAATGAATAGAACAGTTGGCAAGTATTTGACAAAGATGGTGTCCGATCATCAGCGAGACTGGGACCAATATCTCCCGTTCTTCACAATGGCCTACAGATCTGCTGTTAATGAATCAACAGGCCAGACACCAGCCAAAGTCCTATTCGGACGCGAGATGCGACTACCTTGTGATCTAGAGTTTGGGTGTCGACCTGGAGAAGATGTAGCAGGTGAAGATTATGTGATCGAATTACGAAGAAGAATGGACGATGTACACGAGTTGGTCCGTTCCCATCTCCAGATCGCTAGTGACCGAATGAAGAAACGGTACGATACGCAAGCCGAGAAGGGGTGTTTTAAGAAGAACGATAAAGTCTGGCTTTATAACCCCAAAAAGCGAAAAGGTTGTTCTCCCAAATTGCAGCAGTTTTGGGAAGGTCCATACCTCATTATGGAGAAGATCAATGATGTTATTTACCGAATAAGCAAGATCCCGAGAGGAAAGCCGATGATAGTACACCATAACCGGTTGGCGTCTTTCGAGGGTGACCACGACGTAGATGAAGAAGTGGAAGTAAACCAAGTCCAAGATGTGTCTGACCTCACGTTTGAGGAATTCATGGGTGCCTATGGAGGGTACCGGTAAAGCAAGACATGGTGTTACCACTGAAGAAAGGCAAGATCTACTCGCGCTTCCCGATGACTATTCACTGGCCCTTACCATCCCGGCCAGTATCAAAGATGCACCAGGGTTGGCATCCGTCTTTCGAAGGAAGTTTGGTCGAGTTGCAGAACTTCAATGCCAAGTGCCAGCTCCTGGTAAAACCTTGAAACTTCAAGATGCATCACGTTACCTTTTCTACCTGGTAACAAAAGACACTGCCCGTGACCAACCTACCTACCGAGATGTATGGGAAGCCTTACTTCAGTTGAGAGAGCACGTACTAGAGTCCGACGTGCAAAAGTTAGCCATGCCAAAGTTGGAGTGCCGCCAATTAGATTGGAGGGTTATCCGAAATATGGTGGAGGAGATGTTTAAAGACACCGAAGTCCAGGTGTTAGTCTGTTGCAATCCGCATAGTTACTGGTGCGGAGAGAAAACCGTCCCTTGTCATTTCTATACAACCGGAAGTTGTAAAAGAGGGTTCAGTTGCCGATATCAGCATGTCGTTCCAGTTCCAGTCCCGACAAGGTTCCAGGAGGAACCATCTTTTAAGAGGGGGGCAATGTTACGATTTTAAATGTTATGGCGTATAGAACTGTAAATATTTTATGACTAATTCTTTTGTATTGATTCTCGTAATTTCTAGGTCAAAAAAATCTACCTGACAAACAACAATCGAATGTTCTGGGGGCGACAAGCCGATAAAGGAACATGTTTTGAGACCAGTTGCCGCCGTGTCTACGTCGAGATCGAGAACGGCATCGTATTTTCTACAAACATTCTGTTACAAGCTGGTTTCATATAAATACCGGAAGAATTTCATTGAGGAGTTAGTCATAAGAAGATCGGTAAACGCGGTTTACTTGTACGAAACGTGAAATACATACATTTGTAAAGTTATTTAATAAATTAGTAATTAGCTATCGTGAGTTTTAATAAATTAGATTATAGACAATAAATTAGAATAAGGACAAATAAATTAGAACTATATAAATATCACAATATAATCGTAGAAATAATATTTAAAAATTTCTATTAGTGTTAACTTAAAGAAATACACAATAATATGTTTCATTTAATTTGTATAAATGCATTATAAAGCGTTTTTATCAAGAACATTTGTTCGGAACACACTGTAACTGTAATCGAACGAAGGTAAAATTTTGGCATAAATTGGTAACAGTTATTTGACAGTTGCGGTGTTGACACTTTTTGTACTTTATTATTTTGAATTTTAAAATGAATATCTCTTGTTTTATATTTTTTCCTATTTAATAAAATTTGTTCTTTTAGAACAAAATTAGTGTGTTTTATTTAAAAAATGTCACGTAAGAATTTAAATAGTCATTGTAAATCGATGGTAATACTTTTGCAATAATTATGTGATCTATTTGATTTAAAATGGAGTCAGGATTTTTTTATACTTTGGCAACTATGTCAACTTCGATCTCTGACGTAGATCATGACGTAAGTCGTTATCTAAATTAGATGAAGTATATGTTTTTATAATAATGGTATAAAGACCAATTTAATATTTATATTTTTTTGGAGCATATTTTGTTTTTTACAAATTGCCATATTCTCTTGGCATATTCTCTCTGGCGAAAGAAAGAAAATATCTTTCTTTTGGTCTAAAGATATCGAAGTTTCCCCTTCTTTTTTAAATATGGTATATTTACTGAGAAACTCAATTCTCTTATATAAAAAAGATTTTTTTCACAAAGCGCTTCTCGATTATGATCTTTTTAAATTTGAAACCTACGTTATGTAGAACTTGGTATCCACTTGTGCTAATGTTACGAAATTCTCTTTTAATTTAAATGAAATTGTATCTAAAGTCACATGTTCCTTATTTGCACGCATTTGATATATGGTATAAACGAATATCAGATTTTCATCCTTCCCAAAAACCGTTCTTTTTGATTGACAGGCGAGTTTTGTAGTGATTGTGTTTGCTTGCAGTTCACTATTCTATTTTCTATTACAGATCTACTGCAGATCTTTAATTTTAATTAATTCGCTAATTCGTGAAGCCATTCCATGGCCTATCGTCGAACGTAAAGGTCGTGTGTTAGTAAAATCCGAATTTCGGACTATCACGAGAGTCGATACACGAAATATAAATTGGGAAAATCGGCGTTAGACGGTGATTAGTGAAACGGTGAGTTTTTTGGATCGATTTAAAAACAATAATTATACACAATAAGTAAGCTAATTAAGTGATAAGATGAATAAGTTTTTTTCTCGGAACGGTTGAAGATTGAAGCGGAAGAAACTCTACGTTATCGTCGAGAAACGACTGAATACCGGGGGAGAGCAGAGCAAAAGTAAAAATGTTATCCGATGAACTGACGGATGAAGACAAAAGAATGCGAAGAGGAGATGAAGAGGGTGAGAAGGAGGTCTTTAAGACAAGTAGAAAAGTAGATAGAACGCCAATAAAGAGAAGTGTAGTCGAAATGAAAGACGAGATGATGGAGATACTAAAACAGTTGGCCTTAGACGTGAAGGATATTAAAAGAGAGCAAAGAGTTTATGCAGAAGAGTTAAAAAAATTAAGAGCAGAGAATCAGAAGCTGAAGAAAGAAAATGAAGCTATTAGAAAGGAAAGTGAACAGACAAAGCAGGAAGTTCGAGAATTAATTACCAGTAATTAAAAGTAAAAAGCACAAGAGGCCCGAAGAAAAGATAAAATAGTAAAAAAGGAGGTTTTGGAAGGCTACAATAGATGGCAGAGTATGGATCAAAGGATAATGGAACTATGGCAATGCGAAGACATAGGGGGATTATCAATAGAGGAAACAAGGGGAGGTTCTGGGTTCTTGGGATACAGCTTAATATTGAGTCTGAATGTCACTAATGTATCAGTAAGGTCAATATAATTTGATAATAGAGGAAACAAGGAAAATAAGGAAAAATAAATGTCATCCAAGTACAATCTGGATAGGTTCCTGGAACATGAGAAGTACTTATCAAGTATGAAGAAACAAAAGGGAAGTAGTGTAACAATGATAGACAACTACAGTTTTTTAATTAAGGTAGGGAAGACTAAATGAGGATGTAACATATAAGGTACTCGTCAGAGTCATAAGAAGTAGACTGGAAAGGCACTTAAACCAGGGAGGATTCAAAAAGGATAGATCAACCATAGATCAAATATTTGTGTTAAAAATGATTCAGAGTAGTACACATGAGCAACAGTGAAAGCTAAACCTCCTCTTTAAAGATTTTAAACAAGCTTATGATTCTGTAGTAAGAAGGTGTCTGTACCATGCCCTAAGAGTACTTAGAATTTCGGAAATGATGATCATACTAGTAAAAATGACCTTCATAAAGACAGACAATATAGTAAAGATAGAAGGAATCCTATCAGGAAAATTTGAAGTAAGAAGTGGACTAAAGCAGGGAAATCTGCTGTCTACAATACTCTTCAATTTCTTGCTGGAGGCAATAATGAGATGTAGTGGAATACAAATGAAGGGTATGATTTATGACGACAGAAGCCAGTTCCTGGCCTTTGCGGACGATGTGGTGTTAATGGCAAAAACTAAACAGGAACTGCTGAGGATTTTCAAATTCTTTGAAACAAATGCTAAACAGTATGGACTGATTTATTAATGAACAAAAAACAAAATATATGGAAAGAAGACACACAACTGAAGACTATGACAAACAAGGAGAGTAAAGAATATTGCTTCAAAAAGTTGACACAGTTTGAGTATCTAGGAGTAACCCTAACAAGTAAAGGGGAAGAAAGCCAAGAAATTGAGAAGTGGATTTCGAGAGGAAGGAAAACAGTCGGAGCTCTAGACAAACTACTAACCACAAAAAACATCTCAAGAGAGGCAAAATTGAGAGCATACTGAACAGTTATCCAACCAATGGTCATGTACAAAAGCAAAACATGATTATGAACAAAAATCAAGAAAATATGCTGAAAATCTAGTAACGAAGATATTCGCGGAAGTAAGAGGAGATATAAACATATAAGCTGTGAATTTTTAAAAAATTTGGCTACCTCTGGCCCTAATTAACCTTAAGGTCAATTTTTTGCTTTTTATATTCGAGAAAAATATACTCTTACTGAATATGTAATAAGTAATAAAAAAAAGTTATTTTATTTGTTTAAAAATAAAAAAATTACATACCTTCGAACAAATGAGAAGATCAGAGACCTCTATAGGAAACCAGAAATTAGCCAGATTGTCAGAACAAAGAGAATTAGATGGTTAGGCCATTTTGCAAGAATGGCAGATGGAAGGTGGGCAAAGAACTTGCTGCTGAGAGGAGAAGGAAAGAGGAGAACAGGACGACCACGAAAAAGGTGACTAGAAGCTACAAACAATCGGGATAAAATAAACAATTGGATAACTGAGACCGTGCACAGAAGAAAATGGAGGAAAACAGTTAGAAACTGTTAAAGCATTAAGGTCGATTCAAACACATCAATCACGTCTCGTCACAGTCCCGGCGCCGAACCGAACAATCCGTCATACAAAATATTCTTTAATAGAAATATGTCAGGGGCATTCATATTCATCAGTTGACGAACAGTTTCCCAGCTGTCAGATAATTAATAGTTCTGTGACCAAACAGGACCGGTTCGGCGCCGGGAGTGTGACGGGCCTGATGTGTTTGAATCGACCTTAAAACTGTGCCCAAAGTATCAACTTAAATATTGTTTTTAGTTGAATTGTCGCTTATTTACTTAATCCAACCCGTTCACCCTATAAACTTGAAGTAAGAAATTCTTAATGTTCATATAAACAGGTATATAAAAATGAAATAACTATTGGAAAATTCATCTTTTTATAGCAAAATCCTATATCACCAGTCATTATATTTTTTATTACTCATTCTGATAAATTTTAGTAAATGTAGGTCAACTACATTATCTTTGTTTAACATGATCATTTACAGTAATTGAGTTGAGACTAGAATATTTAACTTTCCATTAAATAATAATCATCTTTGTTAAGTCATTTACATTATACGTTTTTACTAACAAGCAAAATTTTTATTTCATTTTTTAGATTTAAGGTACTGTACATGGTATTTAAAAACATTTCATTTGCAACTCCTTAACCTAGTATATTACTAAAAATCACTATCACTATCAGAGAATATGTGGAATATAGAAAATAATTTGTATATATTAAGTTGTATTAAATGTAGTATGAATAAAATAAAGTATTGTTAATCAATACGTTCTCAATACTTTAAAGATAATGTTTATGTAACTTACCAGGAATAAAAATAATATGAATTTGCATGTTTATTTACATTTTCTACCACGCTTTGTAACTTATCTGACAACAGAAGAAGGGGGTAGGGGTACTGACTGAACAGCTGGTTGAGTGTCGAGATATCATGGTGTCGAACTGTCGAGTTGAACACTGAATCACAGAATATTGTCATAGCATATGAATGTGCTGTGAATATTATAATAAAATAAACGAATTTGTTTCTGTATAGTCATTATATATTTACTCTAAGCAGGTTTAAATTAAAAACTATGAAGAATGAAAAAACAAACTAACAAAATTTAGAATGATAAGTCAAAAATTAAAAGAATATCTGTCAAACAAGATTCAATTCGTAAAAGTTTTAAATATATTGAATCATCTGTTTAAATTTTTATGACACTTCTTGTTTTAAAATAATTTCATATAAATACAATGAATATTTTTAAATGTCTTATTTAGTTAATATAATAATTAAATTTTAGTTTGAGTCAATTTTAAAAATAATATTTAAATTTTAAAAATACAGAAAACATAATACGCTGGTCTACTGTACCGCAGACTATAACTGTTTCCTAACTCCACTGATAAATTAGATATGCTCTTAGGAACCGGAGTGTTCATAGTATAATACGATAAATTTAGATTATTAAATACAATACTAAACAACCTAACACAGTTTAATTTAATGAGATATTAAAGGATAAATACTGTGCATACAACTCTTTAGCGATATCGCTCAAGTGTGCTAGCTAATGTGTGTTAACATTATAACCAGAGAACTACGAACTCGTAGTTCTATAACTATAAAATCAAAAAAGAAGAATTTTATGTTTTACATTTAGGTTATGTGCTGTGTATCTACGGTATCTACACAGAATAATAAACAAACAGAATACCCACTCTCCACGGAAAATTAAGTACGCGCATCTCCTCCGCGCAGACGTTCCGCCATGTTTTAGGAGGATTTTAAAGAAATTAGTGTTGTTTATGTGGTGTGCATGGAAAAATTAACCAGGTTTATTTGACTTACGGCAGTCATAGACATACTATATAATTATATTAACATTGTTAAATATAATAACATAAATATAATATAATTAAACATAAATATAAACAGTTACATAACCACACAAATCATATGTCTGTGTCCTCCTAAAACATGGCGCGCGTGCTGAAAAACTTCAAAGGCGGCATCTGAGAGTGGCCCTTCTGATTGTTTATTATTCTGTGGTATCTAGATGTACACATTTTTAATTTAAAATGTCTCTTAAGTATAGTTTAACAGGACTAGTTAATAAGAGATTACTTTCTGTTGCCAATAACGTACGTACATGAAATCTAAAATATGCAATTATAACCTCTTTCTTTTTTAGTTGATATACCAGATTAGACTTGGCAGCTACCAATCATCACCATATCTAGAAGACTTGGGCGAAGTAAACACCAAATATGAAATATCGAAAGACCCAGAGGAATGGAAGTATGTGGAACGAGCGCTACCACCAACATTGATTCCAGAACCCATTCAGAAAGATAAGTATCCCTCAGGATGGAAGCCACAAGCTGAAAACTTACTAGATAGACCATATTTTATACAAAGAACAAAAAATCACATGCTTCCAGTTTACCTGGATGTAACACAAAGGGGATTAAGAAGACATACAATTATCAGAAAAATACAAGGTGATATCAATTTGTTAGAAAAAGAGTTATTGGAGTTTTTGCAGCCACAATCATTTCAGCCTATCAGGAGTCAAGTACATGAATTCGCTGGATTTATTAGGATGAATGGTGACTTTGTAAATGCTGTGAAATACTTTTTAGAAAAAAGACAATTTTAAATAGTTAATTTTATGAAAATTAGTTTTTATTAAACTATTTGGATAGAGATAGAAGTAGTTTACTAAATAAGTGTTAAGTTGGAAGTCATGTACATATTTATTGTGTAAAGCATTTTAAGTCCAATTTAACTCTGTTGCCAGAATATATCTTTTGATATACATATAGACTAGAAAATACTGACACCACTTAAAATTTTCTAATTTAAAAAATATATGTAACATGTCTACATTATGATCTTGAGTGAGATAAATAAATTAACAATATGCACTGTAAAAGAAATTAATCTTATGTAACTTTAAATATTTCCAATTTGGAGGCCAAAAGGGAATACTTCAAATGTTAAATTGGGCTTTATTCTCAATCTTTCCCTTTGGGAACTATGATACATTTTTGCGCAGAAAGGATTGTCACGATCCGTCATTGATTCTGTAGAGTGATTACAACTGCATGGAAGCTAAGAATGGCTACAGGTAGCTGACATCAGGGTTTTGTTAGACATGTTCTTGGCATGCGTGGCTCCACTGGGACAGAAGTTAAGAATGAATAGAATCTATGAACTTGTTCCACAACACATTTAGATAGCCAATGGTAGGAATTATCATTATAATTCTCCATCTATAAATGAAAGCATCGAAGTATATGCTATTGTCTAGTTATATAATCAACATCAACATTGAGCCATGTTTCCTAAATATAAAAGAAAAAGGAAACATCTGTGGAAAATTAAAATGTGATGACATAATAGACTGAATTAAGAAACTGCCAAAAGTTGTAAACATTAATTTTTGTAACACTAGGAATCCTAAGATCTCCTACTTGGCGAAACTAAATAATAATAATAATAATAATAATCTTTATTAATAGCACATGGCTAGAAAAATATACATATAAATACATCAATTTATACCCTTAAAATTAAATCACAATGCTTTGCTTAACATATATCTTACATAAATTTTTAAATTGAGCTAAGTTTCCAGAAGCCTTAATGTTTTCCGGTAATTCATTGTATTGCTTTAATCCCCTATAAAAAAGATTGTTCTGACCAAAATTAGTGTTGACCCTATTCAGATAAAAGTTATTTCTAGAACGTGTGTTGTGTTCATGTACATCTCGAACAAAGGTACAATTATTACACAAATGCACAGGTATCAGACCATTTAACATTTTATAAACAAAAATCATACTATTACATACAATTGTCTGTCTTACACTTAAAACATTTGCCATTGTTAGCATGTCAGTTCTACTAGTGTATACACTACATCCTAATATTATCCTTAAGGCTTTATTTTGTTTTTTCTGCAGTACGTTCATTTGAGAAGCATTCATTAAAAACAGCAATGTAGAGCAAAAATAGAGATGGGGAGCAATAATCGATTTATATATGGTCAACCTAGACCAGTAACTTAAATTTTTTGACATTCTTCCCAATGCATAGATTTTTTTTGCTATTTTGTTTGTAACAAACTTAAAATGTTCAACAAAACTTAAATTTTCATCTATAATACATCCCAAATACTTATACTGAACCACTCTCTCCAAAGCAATATTATTAATTTTTACATCTTTTATTATGTTATTTAATTTAAAATTTTTATTCTTTATAAGCATCATTTTTGTTTTAGTTACATTAAGACTTAAGGAATTATTATCGAGCCATTTTAATATATTACATATCTCTTCATTTATTATATCGATTATTTCATCTACCTTATCCCCTATTGCATATATCACAGTATCATCGGCAAACAACTGTACCTTACACTTTTTAACAACATCAACAATATCATTTATATACAGTATGAAAAGAGTAGGACCTAACACAGTTCCCTGTGGCACACCATACAGAGACTTCTGAGCCGATGAAATGGCACCATATTTTGTCACTTGTGTTCTATCAGTCAAATATTCTTGAAACCACTTTATAATTTTTTCACCAAAGCCATACCTTTCCATCTTTCTCAATAGAAGTTGTCTGTTTATGGTTTCAAATGCACGTTTAAAGTCTAAGAAAACCACACCAATCATTTTCCCGCACTCCAGCGCACCCTTCCAGTCAAACAAAACCGTCTGCATTGCACTCTCACAGGAATTTCCTCTCCTAAACCCTGCTTGGAATTTAGTTAACACATTATTGCTTTCCAAGTACTCCACTATTTGATCATTTACACATAATTCCAGCAGTTTTTCGTATGGTGGTACCATATTTATGGGTCGAAATTCCTCACACTTAACAGTTCCATGAACCTTCTCAATTGGTACAACCAGACTTCTCTTCCATTTACTTGGGAATACGCCACTTTCTAGACTACCATTTATAATATGCAAAATTTTGTCGCCTATTACTTCAAAGGAACTCTTTAAAATTTGAACTGTAATACCATCAACATTACTTTCTTTGTTTTTCATTTCTTTCATTTGTTTTTTTAAATCTTTCATTTCTAACATTTTGAATTTTTCCATTTTGCAGTCGACATTTATTGAACTACAAATTTCTTGGTGGGTTTTGTTTGAAATAATGCTATCTGCTATGTCTTTTACACTGTCTAGAAAAAATATATTAAATCTTTCACTTATCTCTTTACCAGTAACCCCCCCACCATCAAATATTATTTCACTTTTAGCTTCATGGTTTTTTTTGCCGTTTACAAGCTCCTTTAATGTTTTCCACATTCGTTTTGGGTCGTTCTTACAATCATCTATTTTTTCCTGATAATAATTTTGTTTGGTAATTCTGATTAATGCTACGACTCTATTTCTTTGTTGTTTGAAATCATCCCAGTCAGTATCAGTTTTAGTAAATATAGCCTTTTTGTAATATTGATCTCTTTTTTTAATTTCATTCGCAATGTCTTCATTCCACCATAATTTATTTCCCCAAACATCCTTCGTATTAATAGACTTTTCTGGAGCAAACTGATCGAGTGCAGACAATACATTAGTTATTAGAATATCAGCATTGTTACTTACATCTATAGAGGAACTTGACGGCCACTGCATATCCATAAGTTTCATTTGAAATCCTGTCACATCCATTATATTGTACTTTCTATAGGTTTTTTTAAGTGTCGTCTCATTGTTTCTACCCAGATCAGCTACAATTATCGAGTGATCTGTAATCTTTGGAGTTGGGAGCACCTTGCAACTAATGTCTTTTTGATTTGTAAGTACTAGGTCAATCCTAGTAGATGTCGATTTTGTAATCCTTGTGTATTCGTTTATTAGCTGATAGGTACCATTTTTAATAATAATATCATTTAATTTCATAGAGTAAAAGTTTATACTTGCCAAATCTATATTAAAGTCTCCCAATATCACAAAGATAGCATCAGTCTCAATGCTATCTAAAAACGCATCCAACTCCTCCAAAAATTCCGCATGACTTGCACTAGGTGAATGGTACAGACAATAGATGTAATATTTCTGGTTTTCTATATTTATTTGTATTCCTGTTAACCATATATTCTTGTTTTTTTCTTCTTTAATAATTTCTTTATAACGATACCTTTTTTGTATATAAATTGATGTTCCTCCTGTATGTCTACTTGAAGAAAAACCAACAACTGAGTTGTAGCCATCAATATCTATTTCATTTGATGCAAAATCTGAGGTAACATGGGTCTCCGATAAACACATAATAATTGGCTTTTTCTGACTTGCAATCCATGATAACTGTGTTTTATGTGTGCTAAATCCTTGAATGTTTAGGTACAGAATGGTTGGACTTGATTGCTATATTTTACAATTACCATGTGATAATTCAGGATACCTTATTTTTTCTTGTAATCGCTCTACTACTTTCTTATAGGCTTCACAATTCCTATCATATGCTTTATGTTTCAAATCAATATTGGAAATTTTTAAAACTTCTTCTGCATATTTGCAGTTTACACAACAAACTATACGTGATTTACAGTCTTTTACGTGATGCTCACTAGCGCATTGCTGACAAGTGGGCGTCTCTTTTTTGCACTCTTTTGCAAGGTGACCAAACCTCCAACAATTGTAACACTGTTTAACATTTACGCTTTCTCTAAAAAAGTAGCTCTTCCAACCAATATGCAACTTTTCATTTTTATTAATGCGTTCGTAGGTATGCACATCCATCTGGAATATAATATTTACCATTCCTTTTCTGTTTTTCATAGTATGGATTACCTTTAGTTCTCTTACACTTGGTTCTGTTGTTATACCATTTTGTACTACAATTTTTTCAATTAGAAGATCTTCATCTTCTATATCCTTTTTATCTAAGTTAAACACTATTATTCTGGGATTCATCTTTTCAGGTACTTTTACATCATAGGACTGGCCCAATGACATTTTTATATTATTACAGACATCCTGTACATTTTCTTTTCCATTACCCGTACATCTTATAGCAACTCCTCCATCTCTAATATACTTAACTTCTGAAACACCAACTCCCAAGTTGCATGGGTTGATTTTATCTTCAATATTCTTTCTGGTTATTTCACTTGTTTGATTTGAGTCGTTTGGTTTTACTATGATGACTTTTTCTTTTTGTTTTTTCACTGCTTTGCTGTAACTAAGATCGTTATTTGATTTCCACCTTTGGTCACACTGCTCTTTAGTACTACTTTCATTTTTTAAGACTTCATTTTCTTGTTTCAAATTTTTACCACTGCTTTCTAAAACTTTCAAAGCAGACAGGTTGATGACTTAGATGATAAGGGAATCTATAATTTGCATTCCGCATGCCATTCATCACTGTAAAATTCTTAGTGAATTCAGTTTCTAGTACCGAAAACAGTAAAGAACTAGAACAGAAAGATGGTATTAGATTTAGTATTGATGCAGGGCATTACATTATAAAAATAATTATTTACAGATGTCTTTATAATTATTGTCTTATGACGGGAGAGATTTGGTTGCGATTCAAGCAACTGCATATGTCACTCTGATGAGACCTGATGAGGTTGAAATACATATAAGTGGCTTGCAGATGCCCTGCATCAAAATTAAATCTAATATC